CCCCCTGTAATGGATTTAATAAGAAAAATGAACAATGTGATATTCAGAAAAATTTATAAATGCCTGATATTTATAAAAATGTACTTCCAGGCAGAAGTGGGTCATCTCAGATAATCTCACTTATCTAGGTATTATTTTGATAAACTGCCATCCCAGCCTTCATCACGCACGTTGCCTGCCTTTAAGGTGCACCTCCAGGTTAAGTTGGGGTAAACAGATAATTTCACACATCCAGGTATCTCCTTGATGAACTAACTTTTAGTTTTAATTATTTCTAAACTACCCCTTGGCATGAATTAACAATTTTCGAAACTTATTTTCTTTTTCAAGTTTCATTATTATTATTTACGTGACCTGTTATTTAAAAAATCATATCAAATGGAATGCAAATAAAATTACATTTGTTTGATTTTGGAAAAATTGGTCAAGCGGTCTACAAAATTTGCATCTATAGCATTTAATAATTTGCATCTATAGCATTAAATAATTTAAGGTTACGTATACCCTCTCAGGTCTGTTAAAGCGCGTAAGTGAACTTCCTGAATCGATACCTTTGTTTTTATTTCATGTTCAGTTTCCTTTCTTGTATTCAGTAAGATATTCAAGGCGTGTACATGTGCTTTAGATAGAAAATTATTTCCTGGGAAGGTGTGGGTTGTCTTGGGGGGGGGGGGGGGGGGTTGATAAGGAAATAATGGCCTAGAATCATATCGCTTGTACATAGGTATATCAAACTAGGTCAAGACTTGCATTCTAATAGCAAAAAGTGACAGAAAGCAGTGTGAAAATGACTAAATGATCATCTTTTCTGACATAATATTCTTGTTTTTTTGTGACAGTTATCAGTAGGCAGGGGCGTAACCAGACCATTTAAAATTGTACGCACAGATTTTGAAAATTCCCAGGTACGATTATATTCCGTGAAAAATACACTGAATTTATGGAGAATAATATCATGGTTGGCTCAAAAATTGTACGCACAGTGCATCCGTGCGTATGCCTGGTTACGCCCCTGGTAGGCCTACGTATCGTACCTTTCTCAACCTTGGTGGCTGAACCAACTGCGCTGTTCTCTTCCATCATTGCACGCTTGGTGGTGGTCACTGAAAGCGAATTAAGTCTCGTTAGTTTTAAATTATCCTACCAATAAATCGTTTTATTGATTCAAGATAAAGATGACCGTTTTTATCATGACCAACATTAATATTATTTCTGATTGTGCAAAGTTTCGGAGTAAAGCGAGTCTCTATATATCGCTCAAAATGCGTCATAGACTTTGCTCTCAGGCGTATTTTATGTAAATGTGGGTGGAACTTTAAAACTTCAAGGTCGAGATTGTGCCTATTAACTGTGTCATATACCAGACAACTTCAGTGTCACTAAAGCACTGCCACACTAAATGATTCTGATCACTAAATTGATATTCAGAGCCAAACTTACCTCCTTTAAAAGAATTAAAACTGCTTCATTTACGCTCTTAGTTTCATTTCCAGTAGGCTAACATAAGGAAAATCCCCGATCTATTTTTGTCGATGATGACGTAGTTGTTTTGCATTGATTCTGGCCACCCTTTGTGTTTCTATAACCTAGTTCATTGATAACCCGGATTGATTTGTTTACACCTGTATTGAAAATTCACGAGTAACCACAAAAAAGTCTGAAATGAAATGCACATAGGTACACTGCTAAAAGCTGTAACTGCGTGAGGTTCACATTGCAAGATTGGTCTCAGTACTGGTATTTTACGAACGATAGATCCACAGTAATAAATGCAGCTGACATTTCTGACTGGGATTTTATCAGCACAGGGAGTACAATCACGCTGAGGCCATTGCTAAGACAATCAAATTGCCCCTGGGGCTTATTTTTTAAGCCAGAGCGTTTTTCATATTCTTTGCTAAACTTTTTTTATAGCAAATTAAAATTCTTGGCTTTTTTTTTTTTACCGCTAAAGTCCTTTTTTCAACTTACGTATTGTTGCGTGCATTTAAACAGGCCTATGCCAACTACATGTATTTATGATTTTAAAGAGACCCGGAAACATATACACAAGGCACATGAAAGTGCTGTATGTTGGAAAAGTTTTTGTCAATATATATAAAAAATGTTTTCACAAATAACTTCAACAACATGATATACTGTTTACTAATGTTTCAAAGGCGGCATTGGATGTGTTTGCGTCAAGACGACTTAATTATAATTGTTTTCACTTATGCTTGTAAACAAATTTCAATAGCAGGAAAGTTGGGTCTAATAGTCTATTGAATTAATATTTGATATTTTTCTACAAGAGAATTTGAAGAATTTACCTCTACCTGCCATTTTATATAATTCATAAAGTGTTCGTAAAAAGTTGCTTAATTCACACCAGAAAATCGTTGCGGTTATTGCTCATACTACTTACCAGTACATAATTATACGGTTTTTTTTACATTGTACACGCTTCTATCGAACTTCCTGAAACAGCATCTTTGAAATATGTTCTAATTNTGTTGTGATTTCTCATATTTTTCATAATTAATCCTGGTTACATTTCATTAACATACTTTATTATTTTTATATTTAGCACTTATATAGTTTGGGGGATGTTTATTATCTCCCCAGTTTTGTAACTTTGTATCTTATTAGTTTTCGTCATTAATAAATGACAATTTCAGTCATATGGACTTATCCTACTTAATTTGGAGCAAAAACAGAGCTTCGTTGTGCTTGGGAACATTTGGCTACATAAAATTAAATTTAAAAATGCTACATAAAAATGCATGCCTTTCATTTTGGCTGTCGTCTTCACCTTGTAGCTGTAAATACTTCGGTCTTCAATTTCGCCACCGCTACACACACACACACACACACACACACACACGGACCAATATACACATGCAATACTCATAGAAAATAATAATAACTGACACAATTTAAACGGTTCTTACCTGCCAGGAAGCATCTAACACTTCCTGCTTCTTCTCGGCACGTCTCGTCATTCCTGACCGGCAGGAGCGGTTTAAGGGACGGCACAAACGGATGGGGCCTCATTTCCAATTTCCCAGTACCTGAAATCAAACAGGTGCAGGTAGTTGAAATACTTCAACATTCACACACACACACACACACACACACACACACACACAGGCCTATAATCAGTCATAGGAGCCTCTAGTATTTTTTTTTGCACAGCTGAGGAATTATCGGGATAATCATTTTAATGCACGTTTTAAAAATCTTTTATTTACATTATTAAAATTCAGTCAGAATTAAGAACTGGAATTCTTTAATCTATCGCGTCATAACTCGGCGTGTCCGTGCCATTCGCATTTTTTTGTTTGCTTGATTCTTATTAACTATGTGCACATTTGGTGTATCTTACTCAAGCTGTTAATTTCACTTACTCCTGTCCTTAGCCCTTAGTTTTTCCGCCTCCTCTTTGGTGCTACCATACGCCTGGGAGAGGTCAAGGTATGCTGTGATGGCATTTTTTTGCTCACGAGGACCTGGTTATGTAGACAAATATATACCCAGATGACATGTGCACATTGTATCACTCTGTGTAACGGGGGTATTGCAAATTGTTATCCCTAAATGTATAGTGGCAGATAACTAGTGCTGTTGTCCCCACATTAAATATTAATTTATTTTCGCATGACAAAGTAACTTAAGGGTTTACAACATGGCCTATCTTTGCGATTAAAAAATCATAAACCATTTTAACCACCCTATGGGTGGACTTAATCGAAGCGGATTTATGAACAACAAGGTTGAAATATTTTAATATTGGATAAGAGTTATAAAGGTCAAAATAAAGTCAAAATCAAATGAACCACAACTCACCGAATACGCATCCCTGACGAGGAGCTGAAGAACTGCGGACGAACTCAAAGCATTCTTTATCGATACTGTGCACGTCGCCGTGCGGTATAGGTACAGGGTGGCACGAACTCAAGGGACCGGGGCCAAACGTGCAGTTGTCATGGCCGCATCGCACGTCAATGACATCTTTTTTGCCAGATTCTGAAAAAAGAGAGTTACCACGTGAAAAGCAATCCCAATAAGACAAAGAAAACAAGGATTTGCATTTTTTTAAAATTCTGTGTTAATATTGGGGTATAGATTACAAGGTGATATATGTAGTTTGACCACCAAGACTCAAGATAGTAAAAACATAAATTTTGAAAAGCATTGTATTTGTGATACATGTTGCTTTCTCGTGTTCATGAGGAGGCCAAATAAGAAGACCAAGCCAAAATAGTACCAGTAGGAGAAAGAATCTTGCACCAGAGGCTAGATTTCTCTGACAATAGTGTTACCAGTGAGTCTTCTAAGACCAAGAGAATCACGTTAATGTTATATTTAGAGGTTGCTACTTACTGTCCCTTTTGAGGATTTTAGTCACTGGAGCTTTGCTTAAGTCGTGGTCCAGAAATTGTCCGAAGAAAGTGGCGGCTACTGTAATATAGTTCATTGGATTGGGAATGTCCTCATGAAGATTTCTGCTGACAAGACGTGGGTTTGGTAGTGAACCTCCGTTTTTTGATCCCTTCAAAGAACTGATCCCTAGTTGGTTAAAAAAAGGAAATTATTTTAAAGAGAATAAATGTTTATTTTCTACAAGGCATGGCGTTTCGACCTGTCAATTTAAAAACTAACAACCGATTTTCCCCTACGTGACCTCAAGCTTATGTCGGAGAAATGCACGTAATGTAAACATACTCACCGTATCCCGTAACTACTTTGATGTCAAAAGTATCACATGGAAAATTGTACACGACTTCATCGTTTGACGCCCGTGGCAAATGTAATCTAGACTTTACGCTCTTTTTTCTTATGCTTTTTTATGTCTACGTTACTAGTGACAATGGGCGTCGATTCTTTGATGATTACAAGAAAATGTCGAAAGAATTATTACCTAATATCAAATAAATATCAAATAGATATCAAATAAAAATCATGTTACACGTGATTAGAACTTGTAGAGGTTGTACTCCACACTGAATTTACCTATACCTCACGCTGACACAAAATCATCGCGTGACCGATCTACAAAACAGCTCGTGTGAACTCGTGTGAGAACGTTGTTATGCTCACCATCTTGGTATTGGGCTGGCAACAGACGGAGAAGTGGTGTGAACGATTTCCCCCAGAGTGAATTGCGCAGATTGTTGCAGGATCCGTCAATTGACCTAAAGCGTTCCGAGGCATCGCACTGAATTGCGTCTTCAGGGCAAAGAGCAAGTTTGTTTTCGAAGGAAGATGGTATTCGCTCTCTTATAACCGCTGGACTCAGTTTAATTAATTGCGGTGGATGAACGCCATATCTGAATATAAGGCATTTTTAGTTAAATCAATAGAAAATAAGTTCCGTTGTAGTCCAATTTATATAATTACCTGGTAGTGACCGGGCCAATGTTAACTTACATGTACTACAGACGAAAAGAGGGATTCAAGGACGGCCAGACTGTCGGTAAAATAGTTATCATTTGAGGTTAAATAAAATGTTTTAATATAGTTACATGTATTTGTACAGTACAATACAAATTTCACCATTAATAGGTAGATAGAGAAAGTGAAATTGCAAATACTTATCTATACCTGTTGTCGTTGTTTAATATGCAAGAGAATTAGGATGAGTTCTCTTTAAAATGCATGGAGTGCACACTGACAAAGAACTGCCATTTATCATCATTATCAATTGATAGTGACAAAAGAAACAATTACAACATACTTATGTTATTTGCAGTCATCAATAACTGCTTTCACAGAAGAGGAGAGAAATTATATTTACATTCGTAGAAGTCTCCTGTAAAACTCTGTTTGGAGTTGTCCATTGAAGTCCATGTATTTCGTCTTTATGTCTCCGCCTTTGAGCTTCCTAGAAATGACTCGAAACCCGTACACGAGGGAGTTTGTGGAATCTAAGTGATAAAATATTTATGTAAAACATCAGGACTGCATAGTTTCTGTGATGATAGCCATGTAAAGTATGATGTAAAAAGTTTACATGATTTCAATCCACCGATGTTCTTAAAAACATTGTCAGACCGCCACTCCAAACCTCTATTTTTAAACAGTGGCGTTGTGACACATTGCTCCCTCTTCTTTAAGCCGAAGAGCTTCACTTTCAGTAGGGCACGGTGCCACTTTGAATTGCTGATAAAACTTACACCTCCGTCAATCAATCCCATTGGCCACACTTGTTAACTACTCATGGCAAACGAAATCAATTTTGACTATAGCCTTTCAGACGTGTATGTACAGACTTGGCTTTTAATATGGAATATTAAACTTTCAAAGGTATGCCAAGGTAAAAATGCGTTCCTTTTAAAAAAACTCAAATCTCATATAAGATATTTGAATAGAGAAGTGCGCTGTCAGGTATGTCGCTACCAATTAACTGACTACCATGGCTGTAGCACTGCTGCATTGCGTAATATGCAGTGATTTAATTGGGTAGTGCTCCTTTGGACTGGTCAAAGATTGGTTCTGTCCAGAAAGTATCCACAAGGCGGAAAATACTGCATAGAATAATTTGAATTTTTGCATGCAAACGGTTTGCTTTGAAGTGCGTAAAATGAGCTAAGCAGTGTGTTACAACAGTGATAATCTGTCCAGAATGGCGCGAAAAAGACAAGCATTGCACGACAGATTATTGTGTCACACGGAATGGTTCTCACAGTTTTATAGTGTTATGCCCAGACTGATGTACCTACTTAGAGGCCACGCCCAGTGTATCGAATACTTACCACCAGGATACAGGACTCACTGTCCTGAGGGATATATTGCTGCAAATAAACAAAGACCACCCATTCCGTTCAGAATAATGGGCAAATTGCCACCAGAACGCGTTCTGAAAGGCCCTTAGCGAACATCAGACTGGTTTTAGCAGGCTAAAATACCATAAGACCTCTGAGGAAGCCACTGTAAACAGCAAAACATTGTCATCTGTCTCTCTAATGAACTGGGGACCATGGCTGTTTCTGGGTAGAACACTGAAACCGCGTGGATTTCTTTATTGAGGTCAGATTTCACCTGCAGTGCTAAAGTAGTCAAAGTATAGTTTACATACATCCTGAAGAGGCCTTCGACAAAGAGTGTGTCGCGTCTTGACTGAATAGGGCCATTGACAGCATCAATATTTGGACTGGATATCACATTGGTGCCAAAACACCAACGGTAGTCATCGATAAAAACCTGAACAAAATCAAATATAGGAATAATCTGGTAACCACTTTACTACCATTTGATATGGGGCACATGAGGAACAATTTTAGATAGCACAATAAAAATGCGGGTTCACACAGAGCACTTTTCTTTTAATCGCAGATAACTTGCAGAACCAAGAGCAGCCACCTTGGCTATCCAGATCGCCAGATTTGAACCACATGTACATATCCTACAACTAAACCGAACCAAATTGGACAAGTTTTGACCTACCCCTAGGAATGCCTTACCGCTTGAGAGCCCCGGTGGCAGCCAGATGAGGTCAGTCGCAACAGCGACGGTTGCCGTGACTAGACACTGACATGAGGGTCCTTTGTGGGGCGTGAAACTCTTTTACAGACGATAATTAGGAAAATATGGAGATCCAAAATATCGCTTTTAATGGTTGTCGTATGACTTAGAATCAGCAATGTATTTGGTTTGCTGGCGAATTCAATTAAAGAACTGATGTCTCAGTGACATCAAGGAGTTTATTTAAAGTAATTAAAACACTATTTTAATCCTTATTTTTATTTATCAATCCGAAAAATAGGAAAAATCGATGAAAAATGATTCCGAAAAAATTCTCCATATTAAATGTCAAGTCTGTATATGTACGCTGAACTTGATTAAATAATGGAAGTATAGTTATACTTCCATGACTTAATGTTAACATGTCACTTAATTAAATTGCCCTCCTTGATCCAGACAACTTCGATTTCCCTTTACATCAGTTTGGGCTCAACCATAGCACTTCAAAAGTGAATGGTACATAACTGCCACTTTATCTAGGAAAGTGACTTCGGAAAAGCTTGATTTTGCGTGGATAAAAAAAGAAAATAACACATAGGTTGAAGTAATTTTCATTGCGTTTAAGGTTGATTTTTGTATTGAGCGCGATAAAGATGTTAAAAACGTATTTAGTGAAACATATTTGACAAGTAAAATAGATAAATAAACATTACCTGTTTTAAAGGAACTTTAATTTGCAGAAATGGGCTTTAGAGATGGGATTAAACTGACTGGAACTTAAATGGTTTCATATCATGCTTGCCAGAAAAAACGTACTTTTAGTTTCATTTAAAAGAATAAAAGGAAAACAAAGATGTATAATCTTTTACAACAAATAGGGCAGGAAAATAGTGTGTGTGTGTGTGTGTGTGTGTGTGTGTGTGTGTGTACCCATGTGTGCTGAACATGTACCTGAGTAATTGGTGGAAAAGAGAAGTTCTGCGTCGATTTGGTCCTGAAGGGCATTTCTAACGATGGCATATTCGGCTGACACATCAAAGGTTCGTTCCAGCTTGTAAGTCACTTCGTAATTTCTTCCTGCAACTATGGTTAAATCTGGAAAGAAGGAAATTATCTGTTTAGTACTAAATGCTAGATACGGAGGAATTATTTACACCAAACACAAAAATCAGTGTTTTTTATTTATTTGTGTGTGTTTCTATTTGACTTTAGTATTGTAAAATTTAAAAAAAAATACCCGTGAAAAAAATTTAAAAAACGACACAATTTACAGTGGTCGCCACTTATGAAACAAAACACCAGAAAAGACAGAAAGTACTATATACAGAAATACTATAACAAATGCTCTTTCAGTCCACTATTACTTCTGACAAGATCATCATCTGTCTCGTATTTGGCACGAAGCCGCCGTTTAATCACGTTTTGCCTATCTATTGCTTGAAGCACGCGACTGCAACCCACTGTGTCACGAAGCTGAGAAAGGCAGCGGTCCTGCGGCGGTTTTACGAGACATAAAACGAAAGACATCTTTATATAGGTACAGCAGCTTGCCACAGAAAAGTCGGGTGCAAACGAGAGACTTCAAATTTTAAAGTAAAAAAAGTAAAAGTACATTTGAACCGAGCGTCGACTGAGCGTGGATTCCCAAAAACGCATGTAAAACCATTTCTGTTACTTCACTTCTAATATTGACTTTAAATAATCTTTAAAATAAGACGTATATACTTATTTATAGGTTATTTACTTTGGAATAATATATTCCATCAGTCTCATACATAGAATCACATATACATATGAAATATTAAAGAAGTTCGATCAGTGGCTAAAGTAACCAGACAAATCCAACATGAACAATTTCCAAAATAAGCTGAAGTCAGGCTTCTGACAGATACAATCGACAACAGTTGTCAAACTTGTTCTCAATCTGGCTGTTGCTGGCCATGATCTTAACGCGTAGACGATTGCCCAGCCTCCAACTGAATGAATGCACATAAGCACGCACTCTTTCACACAGCTAACACACGCGCGCACATATACACACAGTTCAGCTCGCAGATGGACACAATAATTATGTCCTTGTAAAGGAATACATAGAAAGTGAAGAACAAACTTGAATTGACCGGAACCCGAGCAGGGCATTTAATAATTATGGTATCTATTTACAGTCTAAAACATTTAGATTTTTCAGTAGACTTAACAAGAGTAAATTACAGAAATAAGATGAAAAAAATAAATAGATAAATAACAGGCCTACCCAACTACCAGACTCGGCACATAAGGATCCTGAATTAACCGGTATCGGACCCCACTACCCATTTTCAAGGTGTGTGTCAGATCGAATTTCGGAGTATCATACCCCAGAACAAATTTTATAGGACAACCGCGGGCTCATCCACGCTCGGCTGTCACCTTGATTGGATAGTAAACGATTGTTGTTAAATCGCTATATGATATAAATCGCTATATGAACAACTCTTACTTTAGAGTACTCTATTTTATTGTCTCTATAGGGGTATAGGGGGCATTACGACATTCGGTTTGAATGCTTTAACCACTTTTGAAATGCTTTTTTGCATTGTATTAGATTAATGTGGCAGTTTAAGGTTGTTCTAGGTGGTTTTCAAATTTGTGCACCCGATTTTTAAATTACATAGCGATTTTACGACAATCGTTTACTATCCAGTCAAGGTGACAGCCGAGCGTGGGCTCATCCTGTCGGTGTTTTGACTGATACTCCGAAATGCGATCTGACACACACCTTGAAAACGGGTGGTGTGGTCCGATATACCGGTTAATTCAGGATCCTTATGTGCCAAGTCTGGTAGTTGGGTAGGCCTGAATAAATAGCTATAATATTGAGATAAAAAATATATAATACAAGGAAGACTTTCAACCAGTCAAATCAGCAAAAACGTAATATAACTTGTTGAATCATACATGATAATTATTTAGCACAAGCTGAAAATATGCCTTTAAAGACCAGGGCTAATGAACACAAGAAATCAGTGACTGTAGGCAATACCAGCTCCTTGAATCCGAGTCAATCAACATCCCACGGAAGGCAATACGAGAGGCAATCAACATCAGCAGTCACCAGCCACCCATGAATAGGGACGGGGGGGGGGGGGGGGATGCGGGTCGACCTACCTGACATTTATAAGAGGGTCCTGTCATTAAAAGAATTCCATAGTAATAAATACTAAAAAGTTGCCGGCCGAGGAGGTTAGAATTAATCTATTATCCTTGTAAGACATTTGCAAATTGTAATTTTAAATACTTATAGTATAATTTACTGTTATCCCTACCCGGCTTTTCACCACAATTTCTGTGACAATGGTATGACTTCTTTGTTTTTCCTTCGACATACTCCTCATTTGTATCTTGGAACCGTTACGACAATATTACTGTTCTCCTCTCTCTCTCTCTCTCTCTCTCTCTCTCTCTCCCTCTCTCTCTCTCATACACACACACACACACACAGCTAGAATTTAATAACATGACACTATTTAACGCATTGCTTTTTATGAAAACATTTCAACCAATTTTTTTATCTCGCTACACACGCATCACGATAACGGCGTATTTGCCCTCACTTATTTGATGTAAACATTTGCTTGCTTTTCAGTTATACAGTGTATCAAGTCAACCATTAATAAACATTATTCAATAATCAGCATAACAATTTTCATTTTTATGTTGTAAGACTTATATTTGTTTTTTCTATATATAATATCTTGGTAATGATAAGGGAAAAGACATAACCTTTCTCTTTGTTTGCTGAATCATTCGAAATATAGATTACTTTGATTTCTACATTAAAGTGCCCTTTGCCGCACATTTTTCTCCCTTCCCAGCTCAGCTAGTTCTACAGTTTATAAAAGTAAACGACCTGTAGACCGCTAAACTAAGCCAATATTGCCCATGTGCAATGTTTCTTTGAGAGGCCAGTGTTTTTTAATAAATTTAAACTTAGTCCCTCTTCCGTGTAAAATATAACTGATGTGAGTAAACTGTGGGTAAAGTAATTCAATTTTTTGCTTAATACTAAACCTCTGACCAAAATTGGACCTTACGTAACTTAAACCAGTTATAGGTCATAGGTCAGGTTTTGATAATAAAGATGCACATCACATCATATTCTCAATTCCATGTAAGTTCATGCCCATGGTTGACCCTTGATCTAAGCTATCTAAACTGTTTCAACGGGCGCAGTATATCTCCTAGAGATAATCAAATGACAGTCAACGCCTTGATTCTATTACGTCTTATCTATAGAATGCATGTATTTTCTACTTAGAGCATCCCCTCCTAAAATAAACCATAAACAATTATAACAAACAAAAGAAAAAAAATAAGAGAAGGAGAGAAAGAAAGAGAGAGAGAGAGAGAGAGAGAGAGAGAGAGACCTTGATGGTCTGCAGAAATTTACCCTGAATTATCACCAGCAGTACACACCACGACGCCGCCTGCCAGAATCCCATCGTACCGCAGTCCCTGGCACAAGTAATCTCCTCGTGTGAAGATCGCAGCTCAAATGGCTCACACAGTCGCTTGTGATGCAACATTAGTGTGAGAAAAGAAATTACCTTAAGCTTAGGTCGCGCTGGAGGACACGTTTTAAGGTCTTTGTCGTTAACAGACACGTTTTAAGGTGTTTTTCGTTTACATTTATCACGGAGTTCGCCGCAAAATTTTCCATCTTTTTAATATATTAACCTCGGATCACCTTCATTACTTCACTGAAATCTGAATTTTGACATGCTGATGTGCTTTTAAACTGTTAATATCAACCATGTCACATAAACGGAAAAAAGGGGGCGTTTCGTTTCAAAATTGAGCAAATTATGTCACCGATAACCACATTGTTTGATTTATATGCGCCATGTCGTAGGCCTACATCATCAAAATTCAAGATCACAACAATTAATTTTTGATAAGACCAGCAACATGGAAAATGTCATGAAAACGCAGTTCTGTTCCATCTTTTGAATTTCAAGTGAGGTCAAATTTACATTGCAGATAAAGGGGAAAACTATGGAAAATGCGGTCAGAATCCGTTCCATGGAGAGTTTTGCACCATGTTTTGATATTCTAAAATTAAGAATATTTTGCATATTACAAATGCGTGCTGATTCTACTGGGCGACATGTCTACATGTACCACCGTAGTACGTAACATTGTATTCCATTGTATTCTTTTACCTAAACAGAATGGCTTCCATTGTTTTCTTTTACCTATACAGAATGTCGCCAGTATGCTGTATATGTACACACAATGGACAATAGAAGTGTCACCCCCTGAATCAGAGTAATCAAAGTTGGTAGATCTTGAGTAGTTACATGTATAATGCTTGGTCTACTTATAATGTGACTAATGAGTATAAAACCGTTGTACCATGGAATTGTATTGTTGGTCAATTTTGTGAAATTTGATGTTAATAAATGATACCAGGAGCATTCCACAGTCATTTATCTCCCCCAAAGTATTGGTTCAGTAGGGGTGACACTTCTATTATCCAGTGTGTGTATTATGATTAGTTTGCTATGATAATTGTTCAGAACATTATTTGCCTATAATTCTTGGGAATAAAAGACAAAGTGTAAGCCAACTAATTAGCAAAACAACTAACTAACTTAGTAACTAGGTAACTAGGTTTCTATACAATTAGCAAAACAACTAATTAGCAAAACAACTAACTAACTTAGTAACTAGGTTTCTATACACTGACCTAACGCGAATAAAATATCGAATTCTTTTTGGCACGGGAGAATTGTGTCAACTGTCGTCAAAGGGATGATGTTTCTGAGCTGGCCGGGCAGCCATGGCGTGTCACCCTCAATTACAAAGTCATTTACTTCTGAGCCCATTATGTGTGTCGGGGTATTCTTTATAATCTTAGTCATTGAGGTCTTTCATCTGGCGGCTATCAAGTCTAATATCTAATAATGCAAATAAAATCAAGTTGATCATTTTTTGACTGTTCAAGTAATAGATTTCGCCTCTGGTCCACTGTCAGGCGATGGTATTATCATAGCTGTTTTTATGGTAAATTTTGGGTAAAACAACTCCTAAAATAGCACTGTGTTTTTAAAATTTAAAAAGCAAAGTCACTTAACTTAGTATTCTAACGCGATGACTTGGGTGACCCGACAGATGTGAAACTTGTCCCGGACGAAAAACTTATTGATCAACTTCAAAATTTTAGTCAGCTAAACAGCTATGAGTCTATTCTTGTCATGAACTTGATGTATTATTGATGTTATTCCTGTCTTCACATGCAAGGAAGGACATAATATTAAGGCTCACCTAGCTACCACTGAGAGTAGACCACCCCTTGCGTTTAGTCATATATATTTTCTTCTTTCGTCTCAGTCAGTCTCTTTCTCATTCGGTCATAGTTGGTCACAATCAGTCATAGTCATTAAATCTTATTTAGTCATATTATCGTCATTTCAGTAGCATTAAAAGTGACTTTATTATTTGACACAGGCGAGTTCAGAGTACTGGGTAACGCTGCATCATGCTACTTGGCCATTAGGTCTGAGAAACTAGTATTATGAATTCTAAAGATGCACTCACAATAACACTACCAGAACTTGAATTAACGAGAGACTTGTGCTTGTTTCACTTAAACTTGCAGTGTAACTGGTTTTCAATATATATATATTTGTCTTTTGGTTGTAATGCATAATTTGAATAAACACCCACTCTTTTCTCCAGCTTGGGATATACTTTCTCACGGGAGTGCAACACCTTCCAGATCCCACAACAAAAGCATCAACTCTTCTGCGCTCGGTTTCGCCGAAGAGGCCGCTCATTTCAATAGTTTTAATATATTCAAATGTGGTGTCATGGCAGGTTGCATGTTACGCATACCTGTTATAGATAGAAAAAACAGATAGGGAAGTTTAATTTTGAAAGGTAATTTAAATGTTATTAAGCTATGGTACAAAAGTGATGTGATGGAGAAGGGAGAGAGCCGCGCAAATAATATATGAAGTGAATATTTTTAAAGCCTGTCCGAGTTAACTTATTAGTGAGAAGCACCATCATCAGAGTACAATGAACCTGAATAACTAAAATGACTTTCTTTTATTAAATCACTTCGGAATTTTGATGATCGACTTTCCGCAATTTCTATTCCTTTAGGCAGTTTTCCTAACAATTGTCATGGTCGGCTTTTTTTTATTTTTGTCGATTTTGTTAGCAGTCTGGTCTGGTCTTCTTCCCATAGATTTTGCTATAGTATATATAGACCAGTAAAGCAACGCTTTTTCCCATTGAAGTTGGAAAAAAGTAAACACAGGTTTCTCAACTAAATCTAAGCCAGATAACTTCCCACTGGAATCCACCCTGGCAAGTGCCAAAATCCAAAATGACCGCCAATGCATAAGGGAGGATATTTAAATGGGCATATCAACAACAAACTTGTGAGAGGTATCATTTTTGATGAAAAAGAGGTATGTCTTTCATTTAAAATAGTTTGTAAGTCATTAAAGGTCAATACGTACTCATACATGCGGGTGACTTCATAATTGCGATTTTGGAGTTAAAACTAAAAAATTGGTTTCTCAAATTTCTCTTGTACCTGAGCACCCACGATCACCGTTTAAACGCCGATTTAAGGACACTATTTAATCCTGCCAGCAATTTTTCTTAAAAGTCTTGGTTCAGATTTTATTGTTGATAAAACAAAATAGTGCCTTTGTTTAATGGAAATCTGTAATTAAGAGCTCATAACTCCATAACAAAAACATTTAAACCAAAATGACGGCATGGGATTGTAGCTAATACACTTGTGATCAACTTTGCCAATATTATCATGATAAAATCTTTTCCAGGGATGAAGTTACGACCCGATTGCTATCTAACCTCAAGATAGAAAGGTGTTAAATTGACGATTAAAATTTTGAGTTGCCTATGCATATACATTGCAACGAGAAATACATGTATAAACGCCGATATTTTATTTTTTGAGTTTTTCAATTGTTTTAAATCAGCACAAAGATAGATGCATTATTGAATAATTAGATGCAGGAAAACATTTATTTTCGGTATCTGGATATAATAGAGGGTTACAATATCAATATGTTAATGAAATAAAGGACAAAGGTAGCTTTGAGATGGACACCACCTGGAGAAAGAAAGAGAGGAAGGCCCAAGACCACCTGGCGCCGAACAGTGATGGTAGAGCTGAGGGAGGGGGACCTTACATGGGGACAGGCCCAGCACGTAGCCAGAGACAGTGCCAAATGGAAAGAAGTGACTGTGGCCTTATGTCCCACACGGGACGAAGAGCATTAATGATGATGATGATATATATAGTTTGTTAATCATCAGAGGTCAAGATCATTTGTGTGCCAATATCAAACTTAAATGGGACCAAAATCGCGTGAAGTACGGTTAAGGCGACAGTGATTAAAGTCACTGTGCGTGGAAGTAAGTACAGCAGTGAGACTTTGGATCCTCGTAAATCACCGTTAAATACAGACTTGACATTTAATATGGAATATTTCAGTTTCGAAGGTATACCTAGGTAAAAATACGTTCTTTTTTCAAAAAACTCCTATCTCATATAAGATTTGTGAATGTAAAAGTGTGCAGTCAGGTGTGTCACTACCAATTAACTGACTTTCATGCCTGTTGCGCTGCTACATTATGTAATTTGCAGTGATTTAATTGGGTAGTGTTCCTTTGGGCTGATCAAAGCTTGGCTTAGGCAAAGCTTGGTTCTGTCAAAAAAGTATCCATTTTTCGGCAACTATTGCATAGAAGAATTCGAAATTTTGCATGCAAGCCGTCAGTTTTGCAGTGCGTACGATGAGTCAAGTAGTGCTTACAAATTTGTTAATCTAAGGCAGAATGGCGCGAAAAAGACAGACATAACCAGACAGATCATAGCGCCAAACGGAACGGTCCCCACAGTTTTATAGAGTAATGCCCAGCCTGATGTACCTACACAGAGGCAACAGCCACGAAGAGGCCAGGAGTAACAACGACCATTACTGTGACTAGCAACTGACATGAGGGTCTTTTGTGGAGCGTATTACCCTTTTACAGACAATAATTTGGAAAATATGGAGATCCAAAATATATATTTTAATGGGAGTCGTATGACATAGAATAGGCAATGTGTTTTTGTTTGCTTCTCTGGCGAATTCCATTAATGAACTGATGTCACAATCACATCAAAGAGATAATTTTAAGTTATTAAAACACGATTTTAATCCTTATTTTCATTTATCAGTCAGCAAAATAGGAATAAACTGATAAAAAATTATTTCGAAAAAAATATTCCATATTAAATGTCAAGTCTGTATAATATCTAATACATGTATGCCAGTTGAACATACCCACAGCTGGCCAGGAATTATGAGGTGAAGAGTATAGGAATTTCAGAGTTTGAGGCCATATACAGTGTGTATATGTTTCATGGTCAAACATAAAACAGAACAAAAACGGTGTGAAATACTCATACTTCTATATTTTTACAAAAAATACAGTTACTTAAATTTAGAAGATGAATTAAAAATAAAACACTTATAGTCTGATTGAATAGTGTGTTTTTTCTGTCACAGCGGATGTGTTTTTAAAATTGTCGGAATATGCCATCGTTTTAGCAAGACTGTATTTTTTGTAACAGTATTTTTATTGGATTTTTCCAACAGGGTTCCTTTTAGCAGTCAATTGTACGTTTGTCGAATTATCTCCAATACTTGATGAAAGGCTAGTGTCCCATTTAGGGTGTGCATTGATAGAATGTCGGAGTAATCCTGTTATCCCAAAGATAATTTCAATACAGAACTCGAGCACTTGTGACCTTGAGGAACTGACTTGTATGTTGATGTATCTTGATGGTTACGATCAACTGGTTCCTCAACAAGACCTGTGTCAGCTTGTCCAACAGTTTCCTCGGTTTCTTGTTTTCTTACAGCCAGCACAGAGCGCATTCCAATATAATATAGAACAGACCAGTTCAGTTGCTAAACTTCCTACTCAAAGAAAAAACGGTATTCGATTTTCTCCGACTAACCAACCTTTGATCCTTTTTTCCTGATACTCGTCATAACTCTTTAACAATACTGTAAGTCGAAATTAAAGAGCTTTTAACCAATGCTTTTAAAGCTTGTGTTTTTAACTGTGACATCACCTCGAGCGCTGACTCTTAGGTTGCACGCGATTCATAACTGTCAAAACAGTTGAATAGGTTCGCCAGGAAGCAGTGAATTAAATGATTTTTAGCGACACGGATTAAAACATTTATCTCTTAAAACGATAGAAACTAATTACTTGTCATTTGATAAGCTCAAGTTTTTATGTACATTTAAGTAAAAATAATCTTGTATCTTTTTAAATGGTAATCGGTTTGAGAGGTAGATCAAGGCACAGGATTGGTACAAACTCGCACAGAGGTGGAAGATTTTTCCTTTTGCGACATGTCTGCACGCAACAAAGGTTGCTGATTGAAGTGACACGTGACCCCTGTACTCCTTGGAAACGCCTACGATCGTTATCTTGAGTAGTCAAATGTTTGAGTTTTATTAAACAAATTCTGGCTTACACGTTTTTTCTTTAGTTCTTACCGAAGGCCATCATTGTTGTTTTGCAAAAACTGGCTACAAGTGTTAAACAGAGTGTCGGAGATTACTTATTTGAGGGAATATAAGTAGACATGTTGGACTAGTAATTAATCAGATGTGGTTGTAGTGCCCAAAAGTGCTAAGGACTGGAGGCTTTGAACAGGATACATTGTGAAAAGAAACAGCAAATAATATGAGCACGGCGGTCTTGTCACGGAACATTCGGGTCACGTTACAGGGTAACAGGATTTTTGCCAAGTTGTATTTACTTCCTCTTCTCTTTTAAGTCAAAACATGCAGACTGGCATGCAAACTAAAAGACCAAATTAAATGTTATCTTAAAAACTTGTACACACTCAAATACTAGAAAAATACATTTTCTGATATACCAGAAGTGATGTTCCTGCAGAGCTTTCAAACTGTGATGCGTGTAACGAAAATTAAAAAGATGGTAAATGCTGGGAAGAGGCCTTTTACCCCGGGATAATTCGTTAATGAATTTTGGTGCCAAAATCCTCTTCTGTGTACCTTAAAGGTGAAGGAGATTGTTGATGATAAAAAAAGGCAAAAAAAAATCATTAACAGAATATTAACCTACGTATTACATAGCTTACGTGTCATAACTGGATGTATTTTAAAGACTATAAAACTTGATGATAATGCTTATACTGAGAGGTCGATTGGTAACCATCACATGTACATGGCCACAAAAAATGTATAAAATGTAGAATCAGGGAACTAAAATAACGACGATAGGTCTTTAAATCCCCAAAGTTCAAAACCTTTTAAATTCTCGCTCATATGTTGAACAGAAGTTGACAACATGAGACAGTAACTCAAGCATTTTAGACAATGAATTAATGGATAGATATGATTACATAATACGGATTTGTGATAAACAATATTTCGATATGACCGATTGTACACAGTATTGATAAACGGTGACATGGCATTTTCCTCCTCATTCCCTGTCCTTTATAAGGCAACCATCCCATTACATTGGTTGCTGTCTAGACTGCTCTGGAGGGGGAAATAATTCCGACATGCCTGCCGTGCTTGGATACTGGGACATTCGAGGGGTGGGTGAGCACTACTATATTATTTCACTTTAAATACGTGTTATGGAGTGAGTCAAATACCAAAACTCCTAGCTCTAGATGTTTTAGAGCCAAACTATAAACTTAATAAATCACTGCTACCATGAGTACTCAGCTTAAATATGTACAAATGAGTACATGTTTACAAGGTTCGGAAGTTCCCATGTCCGCCCAGACAGGGAAATACAATTTGCAGTATTGTATTGCATGTGTTATCAGAGACACACATACCAAATACTCATCTGTCGTCATTTTTTGTCTCTCTTATAAACCCCCCACCCCCTCCCTCTCTCTCTCTCTCTCTTCGTCTGTAAGGATCTTTTAGAACATCCGCGATATTACGTACGCCTTTACGTATCCCTGGTCTTCTGCATTGCGTTAGATAGATATACAGAAGGAGAGGCTCCGTTGTTCAAAATTCCTTCTCAAACACATCGGCATATTCAACAGACCTAACTCTCCCCAACGCACCGCCAGTGCATTCTGTTTCTTATATTTGTTAACCCCTACCTTCTACTTTTTAATCAAGCTAGCATGCATTTTTTTTTTTTGATAATTCTGTCATTATTTATTAAATTCACTCATAACAATTCGCACAAAGGTTACATTATAATTGTACTTTGCAAAGAGGAAATAATGAGCTGTATCCCCCGTGTATTCCCTGGGTATCCCCCCCCCCCCCCCGCCCCATCAACCTCATTGGTAAAACTCTAAAACCATGTCTATTTTCTTATGTATCTATAGAATTAATTAACAACCTCATTAATTTTTAGCAATGCACTTTGGTAAATGATGCAAACAACTAGAGATAGTTTGTCGCTCTGTGTTCTTTCAGCTAGCACAGCCAGCCAGACTGTTGCTACATTATGTAGGGCAAGAATTTGAAGACAAACGCTACGAGACCGGACCAGGTAAAATTTATATACCTTCTATGTAAATTTTATATACCTTCTATACATGGTCTGATAGCTGATCTGTTGCGACCCAGTTCATGTTCAGGCAAATGCAAAACCGAGGCTGCAATACGGAATACGGAATACGGTGTACTGCCCATGTTATTTCTTCTCATCTTCCGTTATGGACTAAGCATGAAGTAAAAAAGAAAGACGACCGGGAAACACCGACGTTTTCAGCCAATGTCTGTAAATGAAGCAAAGGTGTATTTCTATATCATATCTCTGATAGCAGGCATGCTTCTATTTTCATTTTTCTGAGATTTAAGTTTTTTAATGCTTTTATTGTTCTTTCACAGCACCTGACTTCAACAAAGATTCCTGGAATAATGAGAAGTTTTCACTGGGACTCCCTTTTCCGAATGTATGTAGTAATATATATTTCCTTTTCAAATTGAAATAAATCATAAAAATATACCTCAGATATTTCTAGTTGATGTGTTTTGTAAATTTGGTAAGTTCCTTTATGACATTTAAGCTCTCATTTCCAATTTTTTTTGTCTTTGGCTGTCATATTATTAACCCGGTAAAAGGCCAGAATCAAGTGATCTCACCTCATTGTGAATCTTTTATTTTTCTCCCTTATAATGCTTTTAAAGTACCTAACTTGTCCAGTTATTGTCCAGAAAACGGTCTTACTTCATTGTTACATTTGCCTTTTTTTTCAATTATAATGGCATTAATGTAGCTCGTATGTCCTGTTATTTTATGTCGTAGACTTCCTGCAAGTTATTAATTTACGTCGGAACAAAATGATCCTACGTCATTGTGATATTCGACTTTTTGTCCGTTATAATCGTATTAATGTCCAGTTATTTTATGCTTAGACTGTCATGCATTTCGTTAATACGTTGTATATGTCGGAAAAATAATCTTGCATTATTGTGACTCATGGCCTCTTTCTCAATTATAATGCTATAAATGTAGCTCGCATGTCCAGTTGTTTCATGCTTAGACTGTCATCCATGTATTAGGGCGCATTCCCATAGATTTTAGATCGATCTATCCCCGTGGGGAGTCTCACTAGATTACTGTCAGATAATCCGGCTTAAATGTCCGTCCCGCCTACTACATGCTGTAAGGGGGTAATTAACTTTCGTGCCCGCTCGGCTGACAGCTATTTAGCGGGAACCCCCAGGGAGTTAGGTCGATCTAGTTGGATCGATCTAATCTCTGGGAATGGGGTCTTAGTCTACGTTGGAACAAAATTACCTTACATCATTGTGACCACTGAAATGATGATACATTGTACCTTCAAGTCCAGTTACCTTGTCTTATACTGTCATACTTATCTTAATCTACTAGTGCATCGAAACAAACTATTATTTTGTCATCGCGAGTTTTGACTTTTGCTCAGTTATGTTACTTTTAATGATGATACGACAGAAACAAGGGTATGGATGTTTAAGAAGCAGAATTTGCCATCAGTGTGTCCTGTATCAGGGCCACAGATTGATTTCTCACTAAATACACTATTCTCTACTGTATCCAGCAAGAATTTTTGTATGGAATTAATGGCATAACTCTACTGGTCCACAGAGTACAGTACTACTGTACTAACAATGATATCTAACAGTGTTTATCATTGTTTTGCATGCCTGATCTAAATACACAAAATGATGATTAAGATTATTATGGTAGATCTGATAGTGCCCACTAACGGTCAGAAAGTTAATGTATTATTTATATTTGCAAGCACGCGTTTCATGTGATTGGACGCTGCCTATCGCGCGTTTTATCCTGTCCAACTTTCGATAAGCTAAAATGATTACTATGAAATATCAACATATTATCATACATGGTGATATTAAAAGATTAAACTATATCATATTTAGCTTATCGAACGTTGGACAGGATAAAATGCGCGTTAGGAAGCGTCTAATCACTCGTCACATGATACTGTACGCGTGCCTAATGAAATCAATAATGCATTAACTTTCAGATCGTTAATTCACAGACGAACTATTAAAATCTTAACGATTAATCTAACCACTATCAGCATGGTTGCCTTAATCTGTTTCTTGTCAACCTACCAATCATCTTAATTGTTAAGGAGATTTTCTGTCGTCATACTATACATGTATCATATATTCACTATTTGTCGACATTTTTCTTTTCTGCTACCATTGCACATAAACAAAGATTATTTGGAATCCATATACAGTTTTCAATATAAGTTTATTCGTTGTATGGGCCATGGGCTTTCTCTTTTTTATTCTGCTTTTCTTATGATTCCAGCTCCCATACTTTAAAGACGGAGACACTAAGATAGTCCAGAGCAATGCCATTATGAGATCGATTGCACGAAAACATAACCTTTGTGAGTGTACACTTTCAAATCAGTTTAGGAATAACACTAAAGTACGAATATCTAACTGTTTGTGGCTAAGTTTTTGTTTAATATTGCGACGGTTATCTATCACATTTGAAATAAACAAATACAATTAAAAAGAATAATGATGATAATATGGTCATAAATTATTAGGCTGTATTAAAAGAGCATTTTGGTAGGTGAAGAGCTTTCATCCAAACTTACCTTTTCAACCTTGCTACATATCTGTCCCTTTTTAGTAATACCCAATTGCTGACAATATCATTTTGTGGCAATTGACAGATGACTAGTTTACAATTAAATAGCCTATTATCGGGGATCAAATTATTATGTACTATCATCTATGAGACAGAAAAATGCAAATTCGCCATATGTTCATAGTTAAAGCACCTCGATATTTTATTCTTTATTTCTTCCTGAATCATCAATAGGCAATATAGGAAAGAAAACAGCAATAGCTGCACACTTTTCTTTATTCACATGACTTCACGATACAGTGTGGAAATTGTTTGGTTAATATCTAAAAAAAAATTATGCTGACTTTCAAATTATTCATCAATACCCATATTTTTGATACACAATGAAGGTGGTACGACGGAAGACGAAATGGTGAAGTGCGACATTATGGAGAACCAGTCGATGGATTTCAGAAATGGTTTCGTCAGATTATGCTACAGTCCGGACTACGTAAGTGTAAATAAACCCTGTTAAAACTGTCAGGCTAAACGATATAAAATCATATTTAATAGACTTATATAATTGATGCAATGATTTCTAATTAGTAAATTGAGCAAAAATATTTTTCTGTCTGAACCGTATAATGCTTCAGGAAACTCTGCGACCAGAATACCTGAAGTCTCTTCCAGCTACGCTGAAGCTATTGTCAGACTTCTTGGGTGAAAATCCATGGTTTGCCGGAAAAAACGTGAGTGTAGCGTGCCATATAAGTGCAGTGCTTGATGTATTTGTCTTATAATTTGGTATTTGTATTTATTTATTTTACGTCTGTTGCGTGTTTGTTATACATTGCTCGGGTAGCATGTTTTTATTCATTTTTTAATACAAGCACCTTTTAATACAATAGCTATGATCTTACGAATACGTGTGTCATATAGGTGGTAATTGAGAAGAGAATTGAGTCAAAGCAAAAAAAAAATAAATAAATAAAAAGCGTATGTTTTACATCTGTGTACCTCATGAAGCAGAGTAGACGATACTTTTGAATAATTAATGTATTGATATGAATATTGTCTATTGCAGTTAACATTTGTGGACTTCATCATGTATGAACTGTTGGACCAACACCGACTGTTTGAACCTACATGTCTTGACGATTACAAGAACATGAGGGATTTCCTCGACAGATTTGAGGTAGGCCTTATTAAAAACTGCAATTTCACTTTCATGCTTTGTCTTGGTGTAGCTATAATTATTTCATAACACTACTTGATATAAATTCTGAAGGCGAGTTCAAGTTGAATGTACACGTGACAATCCCATGATTTTGTCATTAAATTCAATAGATATTAAAATAATAACATCATTTTTTTTTCAATTTATTTATTTCAGGCTCTACCTGCTATTAAAAAATACATGAAATCCGAGCAATTTAGCAAATGGCCTGTGAACAATAAGATGGCAAAATGGGGTGGAAATTAAGACATCACTCTCTGTACATTCTTCTTATTCAGAATTTGTTGAGACTTTCTTAAACCAAGTTCAGAACCTTGCTATTTTCAATAAGCAGTCAATACTTTTTTCATTAATTCCGTCGGAATTAATCATGTTCTCTTATTGCTTTAAAGGACCAAACGGTTTTCAAGACAATTTATTTAACTTGCTATTTGATGGACTCTCGCCTTTGATTTCTATACTTCATGCTCGTGATCACGAGCTCAATGATTAATAGATGTCAGAACTCTAATAAGGAAATAAGGAAGCAGTTTATGTAGACGTGTTCCTTCAATGGACAACCTATTGTATTTGATATTTTAAAAATGCAAACAAATGAAAATAACGAAAAAATCAATTTTTCTATATCTATATTGTCGGAACAAGGTATAATTTATGGAGTGTAGTGACTAGAATACAAAGTTTCTATTGTTGTTAAACAGTACCTGTGACATGGTCAAGTTAATGGGCAACCTCTGTTAAAAGGCCCTCTTTGATATGAAAGGTGGATCACCTTTACTAATGTTCATCACGTAAAGGGAAGAGGAAATAAAAACTACTTGCATGCTATTGTTTACAAAGCTTGGATATGTGGCGTTGAAAACAGTGGATAAAACAACTACGAAAGAATCACAATTATAATTTAACCACAAATAAATATTTTTGATTATCCAATGGTTTGAGTTATAAAGGTATGGTAATAAAAATAAGGAAAAGAATAAAAGGAAATAAAAAGTACTAATGCTGCGGAATACAAATAAAATTACTCATGTTCATCGAGAGCGTGATTCAGAATATTTTTTTTTTTACAAATAAGACAGTTGCGCCATTGCTTAATTTCATAAGTTTTATAATCCAATGGTAAAAACAGAAACGAGTTTAACGAATGTATGCACCGTGATCAAGGAATCGCACGCAAGAACAAAAGCTGCATATCAGCAATTCTGCTGACAAGACAACAAACCAGTGGTTTATCCCATCTCTTTCTCTTCCCCCACATCTAGGATGAACTTAAATATGTGACAATATGGTGCATTTTGGAGGAATTCTACAATGACTTTGGAATAATTTTCGGGTTGAGGTCTGAACTCTTCGTTTTGCTCTGGAACAGAAGGGTCGCGTATTCTTGACCTCGTGATAAAATATTTAAGTAGTTTTTTGATATTATTATTTATGCTTCGTTTATCAAATGATCAAGAGCAAAAGAGGCGCCAGATTACAAACGAATTTCACATGAAAATGGAGGCCTAAAATAATTACATCCCAGGTTTCCTGCATTAAGATACCATTTCCACGCTTCATCTACTCGAGAAAACAATTCGTCTTCTGATTGTTCAATTTCAAAACAACTTACAAATGATAAATAACGAAACGCAGATACCTCTACTTAATTAAAAAATGTATTTATTACCCTCAATAGCAACTCACTCAGGCGTGAATACAACAAGGAGTGGACGTATCATCTGTCTGTAATATAAATTCCATAATGTACCAGATAATTATCAAAATGCACTCGCCAACGTGTGACACATGACGTGTGACCAATACCAACACCTTCACTCAATTTAATGATTATTGTATGCGGTTGATGATTTAATCAGACCCATATACTATATAGATATAAAGATATTCTCCTTGACATGCCATACATTATCAGACACATCTGGATTCAAGAATAAGTTATAGTCAATCTAGAGAACACAAATTTTACCCTGAATCATCAAGGATGAAGTAAATTATTAAGTGTGCAATCAATGCACATTACCCAGAGATGGAAACAGACCTCTCTGAAATTTTTCTTCTTTTCAGAGACATTCTAAATATTTTGTGCACAGAAAAAGGAAGAAACCCTCCAATAGGAGGAATTTTTCCATCCCTTTTAACTCTAGCTTTAACTTCAAAGGTTTACAAATAATCTGTAGGGAATATTGATACACATAAACCCGCTCAAGCCAAAACCTATAAGATGAACGTACATGTTATTTATTCTCTAGTGCCTTACGTATCTAACATATAAAAACTATCTATTCTCAACTTAAAATAAATTTAATGTAAACGCAGTGAAAGGTGTGTGCTCTGACACTGTCCACGAAATGAATTCCATAAATTGACTCAATGCTGGCTATTCAATGGCACATTGAAAACTTGTAATTCCTTATGCCTCGAAGAAGGCGCCTTTGACATTACAGATAGTAATTATATAGCGAAAGTTTTAAACCTTTTACCAATATTTTTTTACAATTTGCTCCATTTATGTGACATTCATATTTAAAACACCAGCCTAATTTGCACAAGAGGTATAATCTGTAAATGGACATTTCTCCAAATGCTCTTTTGAAAACGGAATTACCATTCAGTTGGGATTAACCGCTCTTTAAGACTAACCACATGAGACATTTTATCTGAAAATATTCATTAAATTTCAAAATTTTATCATACTGGCAGGAAAGGTAGAATGCAGGAATCAAGTCCACCAAGTTTTATTACCTTTCAAAAATTTTTAGTGTATTCCATTGGCAAAATCCCGAACAATTTTAAATGGAATACTTCCCTTCGCACTTTAATAATCACACGAAAATTACCCTGCCCATCTCCCTTTTCGTTTGAACTGTTCACCGATACACTTGGTTCCTTCGTCTAGTGTTAACCACTTGGTTATCAAAATCATCACTGCGTACACACCTGTGATATTAGTGTTATGAGCTAATCTGATACGTGTCTGAAAGAATGGCATTAAGTCAGGGACATGGGCGGAGTTCGGTCATATGGTCAGCTCCACTAATGACAGAGGCGAAGATAAACGGCCAAGTAGGGTGCGATTAAAAAAAACTCACGTTTTATTCCTTTTACCTCATTACTGTTCACAGTTGGTATGATATAGGTAACAACACAGTCCCCAAACCAATATTATTCGACTAATGCTCAGAAGTTACTTCCTGAAGTACCTCATAGCATAACGCCCTCCGTATCTATTTGGCAACCTATTATTGTTGAAGTAGTATCTCTGTGAGGGTCGACCGTATGCTCTATAATTGAAATTTCGATAAATCTGCCTGATTGGGTTGTACTTGGGAGTTCTTGACAATTGGACCGTGCCCACGGCTGCATGAGCCTGCTGTCTTGGTTGGCGGTAAGTGCTGGGTTGAGGTTGGTCTCGCCATAGAGTGAGGTCAATTCTGGGTAGAGTTGTGCAGTCCACACGAGAGTTGCCCACTCCCCTATACAGCATACTCAGATGGTAGGCCTGGGACGCTTTGAAGCTGAAAAACGAAAAAGTGGAGCAACCATTTAAGCTGGGGGTAACATTTTGACAAAGGCAGTGGTGAAATATTGAGAAGACGTGGGCCACTATTCACCCCACGTTTACAAAATTTTTAAAGAAAATCGGAGACATTGCACAATAATTCTTTGGGCCTGTCATCATCCTTTATCCCTCTTGAAAAGGGGCGAAAGCTACATGTACAGCCCAACTGCCAATTTATACTGAAAAAAGATGGGCGCCGTGTACCCACCGTATCTGGGTGATAACAGATTAAACATAACCCGATTCAACTGTTTTAAAACATAAAAAACTATATGATATAAAACTTCACCTAAGTGTAGTATACTTATTAGACACTTACTTTGGTGTACGGATGATATCCTCGAAAGCTCTCAGCATAGCTTTTGGCTGGATGGTCAGGACTTTGTCGCAATTGTCGGTGATGATACGTGAAAAGGACGTCTTTTTGATAGACTGCAGTTGCTTCAGTGTGAATCCAGCTTGCTTGTTCTCGTACCAGAAACGGTCGCCATCTCTGCTGCGAATGAATTGCTCTGCAATGATGCAGGCAAATGTGGGTCCCACTGTAGCGCCAGGGAGGTTTTCCTCTACCAGACCCCCGGCCCAGGAATCAACATCGTCTGGATGCCTAAAAATAGGAAAAAAATAATACATCAACAGTGTTTTAAATCAATCTATTGTGAATGTATTAACTGGACAATAATGCTTCCGGATTAATAACTGAATTTAGTATTTAACGAGGAATTAAACCATTCACCTGTTACATTGTAAAAACCTTTGACATCACTCTGGTATGGGTGCAGAAACCTGACGACGGTTTTTTAGGGCAAATGACTGAATTTATTGCGTCATTTGTACGCATCTTTTACCTTTAAGTGAAACCAAATTATTTGTTTAGAAATGAACCATTATAAGATAATAATGAAAATACGATAATAAAAATACTTGCCTGTACAACATCTTTAGTTTTTCGACTGATTCATAATTTATTCTAAATTCCCTTGGTCCGCTCATAAAGTCCTCAAATGTTTTGGCTCTGTTTCCCCCGCAAAGCTCTCTCCAAAGATTATAGCCTGGAATGCGAGGTTATAATTTTAATTAATTTAAAAAATTTAATTTATTAAAATAAAAAAACTGAAGGTGATTTGAGAGATTGATGAAAAGAATAACGTATCACATCGCGACCAAAACAGCGTCCACACTTACTTTATATGCATGGTGATTGTAATTGGGATTCGTATATAATGTTATACGAGGCAACAAATCTAGTTTTGTTTTTTTTTTAAACACCTAAAAGACACGAGAAATGACATGAAAGCAATTTTAGGACGTTTTCATTGCAGACATATTACTCTATATTAGTCTATGTGCTTATAATGTTATGACAAAGCCCCACTATATAGAGAAATGTTTCAGTCGTATGCACCACCTCCATCGTCTAGCTTTTTATCCATTCCAAATTCAAAGACACATTGTTCGTTGTGAAAACGTCACGGTATATTGCGTCTGTAGTTGCAATGTCCAGTGATGGTGTTTATGCATCTTAAACATCAAACATCTGTCCAAAGTTGATAAATGAGGAAAATATTTAGATTGCATTTTTTGAGGTATGGGATTTTATCATAATTGCTAAGTACGGGGTCGGGGGTGCTAAACTGCCACAAGCAACTATATTCTTATTTGTTCCCTGACAGGGACAGAAAAGAGAGAGAGATGGCAACGCAAATGACCACGTCGCGTCAAACCGTGAAAGGACTTACGTCTGGCCAATGAAGTTGTCTTTGACAGCCTCGTGTGTCACGCAGAGTTTAGGTGACGCGAGTGTGAGTGTTTCTGAACTCGTCTAACATACCTGGAATGCCGTGATCTCTTCCACGCTGATTGTTTAACATAGCCAGATCTGTTCCAATGCCGTGTGGAGGGTTCTCGGCAAACATGTGAAGGGTGACTTGTTTGGTCATAAAGCGATCTGTGTTCTCACATTCTTGATCTAGCATGCCAGAAACAATGGAGTCAATGCCTCCTTCTTCGTACTTGTACACCAAGGCAGGACGACGGAATACCTATAAGGCAACAGGGTCATGCACTGTAGATATGCCTTAATTGTACGGGAAAACGAGATAATACTTGTTTGTGAAAACTATTTCTAAAAGATTTGCAAGGCAGAAGAATTTAGCATTATGCCATCTTTATTACCAACAAAGCAGTACGAGGG